ACAGCTGAGTATTAAAATATAAATGGTAAATAATTATATGTATATATACATATGGTAAATAATTATATATATATATATATTTAATTTACAATAAATTATAGTAGAATCTCCGCTTTGGTAAAAGAGTAAACCAATGTGATTGTATGAAATGTCATATTTAAATGCTTGTCCTTATTACTTTTCTCCCAGACAACGCTGAGAATACCTGTAACTTGTATGTTAAAATTACATAACAAGCATAGAAATTTAATTAGTAATTAGACAAATTTCGTTTATTCTTAGTCACTATTTTCTCAATTATGCAAATAGAATTAATTATTACGCTAAGCTTAATTTAAGTTTACTGCTTTGTTATGTAAGTATAAGAAAACGTGAAGAGAGATTACATTAATATGTTGAAATATGAAAGGAAATTACGTATTTCTGTAAACAATAATTTAAAACATATTAAGGTTTTTTTAATATAAATATTTTTATTTAAATATAGAAAATATTTATTCTTCTAAAACATAATAATCTAATTTTAATTTCAAATAAACCAAATTCACTTAAATAAAAATGCAGTTTATTTGTATTGTATAGAAATTAAAATAGTATTAACACATATTTTATTACCTTCGAAAAACTCGACTTATTTATTCAAAAAAAAACATACAAATTTCGAACAGAATTTGCTCCACAAAATTTAAATTTTTTCCTTTATTTTTATATAAAATTCGGTGTTTTTTAAATTGCTTTTCTCTCCATATATATATATTTTTATGAGAATTGCGTATAATTATAATTTAAATATAACATACTAGAAAGTTTTACATTGAGAATAAACGTACAATAAATATAATATGTACGGTGTAGGAGGAGAATTCGGATTATAACACTAAAAATAATTTATAAAAGTTATTCTTAACTTAGTAGAAATGTGAATAAACAAACCAGTTATTTACGTTTCACCAAATTCTACAAAATTGACGATTGAAGTCACGTTTACAGATAAATAAATACAAGACTATATTTAAAACAAACTTTTTCGTCAATTATTTATTCTTCCAATTTATCATACGGTTTCGTCGACTAAATCGTTGCTTTTTTTATCATAAACATTTCTCTTTACTTTAAAAAAATAATAATTGAAAGCAAAATATAATGTATATTCACAGCTTATTATTATTATTATTATTATTATAACTTCAAAAGCTTATTCTTGATGAAAGAAAAAATGCGTTTAATCAGTTTTATTGATAGAGAAATTTTTAACAGATTGTTTTATAAAAATGAAGTAAAGCAACTTTTCAATATTATGTATTAGTTTTTATTTACTTCAACATTTACTTACGGTACTAAAAATAAATCTTATATCGCGTGGATGGAGTAAGTGGGTGTGAGTTGAACCCACAGGCTGGATTACATCAACTCTTACTTTCTACAATTCTTGTAATTTATTTTCTAATTCAAATTACTCTCGTATCGCTCGTTCTTGTGGTTACAACTAACTTAATATCGATCGGTGTTTAAACGTGCATTGGAGAGATTAAATGCAATATTATTACTAGTGATAAATAATTTTTATTTATATTTAGTGGTCAGTGGTACGGAGGTAATCGCAAAATATAATGTTAATGTTTAGATATATTTTTCGCCGATTTAGTATTTAATTTAAAATTCTGTTTAACTCTAGTAACTTTAATTTTTAACATTGTAGTAATTAATATTTTTAGCTTACTACAAAATGAAATTAACAATGATTTCCCAGGAGGTATTAGTCATTAATTTTTACGATAATAGAAGGAATAGTCGATTACGATGGTAATTTTTTTATTCTTTCTCGTATGGATACTGTATTTGCCTGATAAAAAAAAAAAACATTTGTTTCAATCGGTTTCAAGCCATTCATTTTTTTTAAACTAAGACAACACTAGAGAACTTTGAATTACGAAAGTAAGCGTAACACATACCCAATCAGAATCAATGCACGTGATCTATATCCTGCCAATCATACAAGTCTAACTTCGCACGACAGCAAACCGGAAAACCGCCATTATTTGTCGCCCGCTTTGAAGATTTAATCGATGATTTCGAGTACCTACAATACATTTATTAACAGTTTGTTGTAATTTGCATATATTTAGATAGTAGTTATATACAGTAGACCCCTATAAAACGGGTTCATATAATACGGATTCGTATAATACCGCGAAAAAATTGCGATCGTATTCGTATAAACACGCTAAAAGAGACTCGTATAATACGGTAAAACGTCATCTCCGACTCGTGTCGCGACAGGATTGGTCGAATTTAGACCAATAGCGGATATTGCACAAACCGTTGAGTTTAAACGAGCAGCGAACCTACCAAAAACCAGTTTTTATTTAACTGCCATAAAAATTATATTTATATTAATGATGTCTCCAAAGTTCAGCGAATTTTTCGCAGAAAAATAACTTATCAGAAAACACGCACCCGCCGTTCGATGCGCCGCTCTGCGACGAAAACAAGTTTAAGCAATGGCGTCGTCGAACGGTGAACACTCGGTAAGTAATCCTACAATTTTTCATTTATAGCATAGTTTATATGGATTATTCCCAAAAAATTATACGTGTTTTGGAAATGTTGAGTCGAATTAGTCTAGAATCGATTAATTTTATGGAAAAAAAACCTTTCAAACAGCCGTAGTCCCTATGCACACGTGCCGGACTGTGATTGGCTCATGTATTTAAGTGATCGTAAAACTTGGAATTCATATAAAACGGAACGTATCTACCCTATTATAGGGGGTCTACTGTATTTATTAAATATTTTCCTAATTATTAGTCTACATCTGTATGAGTCTTTCATATAGATGTAGACTAATAAATACGTTAAAGGAAAAACATGTAACGTTATGAGTGGATAAAATTTGTACTAATATAATAATACAGCAAATAGACGGGCCTCGGGTTCTTAAGCTTTTCATATTTCGATTTTCGTCTATCTAACTCATTTCTATAAATTAAGGAAGGACAGATGGACAGACGGATGACAATAGGAATCTATACGTCTGCAGTTTGAAAATTACAGCCCAATAACTATTTAAGTTATTTAGATATAACTATAATCATTAAATTAACAGTGTAAAAGGATGACGGCAAAGAGACTGAAAATGTATTATTTTTTAATTAAAATAAGTGATGTGTTTGAAACAGGGAAAAGGTAATAATTGTAACAATTTTTTGTCTTCAAAAGGTAGTTAATTAAATTTCATAGGAAAAAGTAATAAAAAGTCATCGGTAATCGCTGAAAACGTAAATTAAATTATATTATACTCTGATTAGAATAATTAACTCGAATATAAGATAATTTCATTCAACTAAAAAATAAATTTCGAAACAGTACTAACATAGAAGCGCATCTAATGGCAAGCTTATGTGGATGAGTGGGGGGAAAAAATCAAGTAACGAGTTGCTTAACTCCCCACCCCTCGACTTTTAATCACCAAAATTTCAAAATTTCAGAAATTTTCGACAAAAATCACAAATTTATTAAGCTTCAAAAAGGGTAAACAAAATCGTGCTTCCCACACACGCATACACATACAAACACACACTACCATCCATATTTACAGGAAAAAAACCGCGAAATTTTTTTTATTTTTCAAAGTTTAAAGGTCCTCTGAGTTCATAAATGTAAAAATCTGGGGGATGGGTTTGACCGACGCCATACTTTCCATCTGTTATATATAACAGCCGGGAAAGTAAAAGTATACTATAAGTGCTGATAACAATAATGTTGGTAAAGGAAGAAAATAGAAATTTAAACAATTGAAATATCATCTACGCGATCAATTTACAGTAAATAATTCACTATCATTCGTTTTCTTTTTGTTTTCTTCCGTTGCATTTTATCGTTGTTTTTATGATTTTTGGTTCGTTTCCCCCCTTTTTTGCGGTTTGTCTTTGTCTACGAATTTACTGCCATCATTTCTGATTAAAAATAATAATAATAACTTCAGTTATAAGCGGTATTAAAAACCATGTCAATAAAAGAATAGACATCTATTTAAACTTCTTTAAATTAATTAATTACAATAACTTTTCTATGGATGGTTTTTAATAAAAACCATAAAAAGAACACAGATCCTATTACTAAATAAAAAGAATAATGTTCGAAATGCTTTTGAATGGCTATCCTTACAAATTATTAATAAAATGCTACGAAAAAATATTAATATGAAAAATCAAAAAGAAAATAATAAGTATAAACTTTCTCGTATAATCGAAGATCAAACAATAGACAAGCTTATCTATGTAATATATATATTTAAATGTAAAAAACAGGATAGCTATTTATAATTTTATATATCGGTAATACTGGGGACTATTAAGACCGTTCTCCCTCTTCTCCCGTAACACCTCGTTTATTTTCTTAACAGCTTAGGAATGTTACTCATCTAACCCCACACATTCGGCCATCCCGACAGCTGACATCGTCCCCGATGTCTTCATTTGACCGGTTGAAAACTTCGTTAGATGAACAGGCCCACGCTTTCATTGTAGACGTCTTTATTGGACCTTCGTAATCACCTACCTTCTCGACTAAATATCTGACATTTCTTAAAACTTTTCTGCCTTTGTATTGCCCTAAGAACTTTGGATGAACTTTTAAGCTGGGCCGTATTGTGTTCTCCTTATCATTGACTAATTCGTGGGGCGTTTCCTTTTCTTGTTAAACGTTTTCCTGTTCTCCGCTTGCAGTTTCTTAATGTTCTCTTTTGCCATTGCTCTAATTTCATCCCATTTCATCCCATTCTTCCTCAAAGCACAGAATTTTTTCTTTCTCGAACTCTTCTCGTAGTTCAAGGTTCTCCTTCAAATGCATTTTGGTACCAAACGACAACTGGAAAGTAGACCGATCAATACTTCGGTTATACGAAGAATTGATGTATTTCATTGCCAGATCAACGTGTTTATACTATTCTTCGGGCTTTGGCGCAGACAGTTTAGTAAGCAACGAAATGATGACTTGATTCATTCTTTCCACCTGTCCATTGGCTCTTGGAACAACTGTATTAATTCGAAAATGCTCGATGTTTTCTTGTTCGCAATAATCTTTAAAGACACTGTCGATGCCGATCCACTGTCAGACACAATTCGCTTAGGATTACCAAATACAACCGCCTGTTTTTTCAATCGACTTATAACTTCCTCTGCTCCTGTTGATTTAGTGGGATAGAGCCACAGAAACTTGGTGAAGGCATCCGTAACTGCAAATATGTACTGATAACGCTTCTTAGTCGGTGTTAAATGATTCAGATGATCAATGCGATAGGTATCAAAAGGTCGATCACCTTTGTCAAGTTGATTCAAAAATCCTTCTGATTTTCCTCTTTTCCTTTCTGCTATGATACAATTTACGCAATTTCTTGCGATCTTTTCGATTTTACTCTTCATATTTTTAACCAATAGTCTCTTTTCAGTAGTGCTTCGGTTTTCTTAACAGCAAAGTGACTTTGCTTGTGAGCTTATTTGATAATATCGACTTGCATTTGTAAGGGAACCACTATTAACGACTCCCCATTCATTTCCTTGTACTGTACAGAATCCCGCTTATTACTTCATAACCATTTGTCTTTTCCATATCTATCTTATTAATTATCTCCATTAATTTACTATCTTCTTTTTGTGCATTTTTGAACCTAACTACTGTATGACACTATCTTCGTTTTCTTCGATCAACATTACATCAGCAGTAGGTAGGATAGCGACTTAGAGCGTCTACATGCCTCATTTTAGTTCCAAATCGGTGCTCAACAGTATCAAATAACAAAAAGGTTTAATTGGTTTAAAAAAACAAATGAAGAGATACAAAGAATAACCTATCATTATATCAAAGCATAACTACATACACTTCTAAACGCAGAGAGAGAGTTTACAATCAGTTAAAATAATAATACCTCAGTCTATGTGTAGAGCTTCTCTTCTTATAGGGAGCATGATTTAGTAAATGCGAGATGAATGCTGGAGAGTCAGAGTGAGATAATTTTTTCCTCTATTAGTATGACAGGTTCGAATTCCGGTCCACTGTCTGTTAATATAGCAAATCTCTTCTGTAGACTGCTTGTTATTATGGCAGGTTCGTATTATCGGTGACTGCCCCGAACTCGTGGACCTCTTTTTATCTTAACTTTCCTCCAATCAGAGTTTAGGGTTACATCATCTGTCGGGACATAAGGGTCATCTGACATAAGGGACAGATGTTCGTCAAATATGAGCGATAACAACTTTCTAAGGGAAATTCTATTTCCTTTGCCCACGAAAAACGATAACTTTTGTCTATTTTATGATTAAAATATTACATTGAAATTATTAATCAAGCGGGTAAATTTAAGACAGTACCAGCATGTGATAAATAAAACGAATAAATTTTCAAATAAATTGCTCTCTATTTTCGCATTCTCACAATACTAACTTTAGTCTTTGCGTCTGCAGAGGGTATTACTAAGTCATCGATATAAATTACAACTAGTGTTTCTCAAACGGGATCCCGGGATCCCGGTTGTTTTTTTAACCCGGGAAATCCCGCAAACTTCTTAAAAATTCACTTTTTTTCTTATTTTGTGTTAAGGTTAAGAAGTTTTGCAAATAGAAAGCATAATTATCTCATTCACTGTCAGAATACATTTGTATTTATTAATTTTAAACCTACCTATTAGTTTTTTTAATTTCTGCTCGTTATGGCATGTCACAAATGGTCGATAATCAATACGTAGCTTATTTGTGGCAGGACTCTGAAAATTCTTTACTTTTCAGAACCTGTAATATATGGAATAATTGTGCTTACGCTGTCTTAATTTTTAACCATGCCCAGTAGCTTCAATAAATGCTTAACGCCAGATTGTGCAAATTGGGCAAAGATACAAACGAATATAAAGTCTGCAAGTGTGAAGTTTTTCTTCATAAACCTGATTATTAAAGCTAAATGAATTGCCGAATTATGGAGCTCTAAGCTTGATGCCGCTATTAAAGCAGCCGAGGTAGACAAATCAAAAATACTAGAGAGCAAAAGAAGTACTACAATCTCGAAAACGAACTCGAAATCTTCCAGGCTACAGGTGAAAAAACACATAATATCTGTCTTCTCTTAAATGCATTAAACACGATTCCAATCGCATCAATTAAATCGGAAAGGGCATTCTCGGTGGCAAGACTTTTCATTATTAAAATAAGAATTAGAGTGAGTGATCGGAGTATTGATCATCTTTGCTTTTTAAAATCTTATAAAAGTTTACAATATTTTGTATTATATTTTATTTAAAAAACGAAAATTACCTTCTAAGTTATAAGTTTGATCTAAGTTCAATTTTTAATTTTTAAATCAATTCAAAGCATTTGTTGTTGTTGTATGCAGTTTCTAGCAAAATTTAATAAGTTTTTTTCTATTTGTGAAAATTTCTACGTAATTCAAAGGCAATTTTTATTATATATCTTACACAGCATTATAATATGATTTTGGATGATACAGAACTTTAAAATTACTTTAAAAAATGAAAAATAATTATATCATTTAATTTCAAGATATTTTGTATACCTTAAAAATAATTAATTCTGTCCCGGGAAACAGTTCACTTTTATCCCGGAATCCCGGGACAAGCAAAAGACCGGGAAATGAGAAACCCTAATTACAACAATTCCTTGACGTGTCAGTTCCTTAAAAAGACTATTAATAATTCTTTTAAAAACGGTAGGAGAATTGTAAATCCCAAAAGGTGCACGCAGGAACTCTACTGTGCATCGGGAGTAAAAAAAAAGCATACTTGCGTGAATTTTCCTCAATTGGGACGTAAAAGTATCCATTTTTCAGGTCGAGTGCTAAGCACCTTATCCTCTTCTAGGCAATCAAGTTGATCTTCAATCAGAAGCAACGGGTAGCGATTTTTAACAATCTGCTTGTTTAGGAGGTGGTAATCAATACAAATGCCAGTCGACCTATTTTTTTTAACAAGAACAATAGGATTTGCATATTCAGAAGTATTTGGCTGAATTATACCTTCGTGTAACCATGTTTTTACTATGTGCTTATTAACTTCATCCTTCTCACTACTCTTGGACATTGACAAACTGGAACATAATTTTTTAAGATAATGTTCATTTTGATCTCTGTTTCTTGTTCTCTGACTGCTTTGTAATTTTTTATTAGATCTAGAAGCTCTCGTCTATATCTTGCTTCACTGATATGGCTGAAATCAACACTACCAGTATCAACACAGGCAACATCAATATTGTATACGTCTGAAATGTTTACTTCTGTATCTTTTGCTTTGATCATTTTCTCAACACAACCTTCTTTTAAACTAATATGAACTTGTTTCAGAAAGTCTGCTTCCAACAATAACTGATAAACAAGGAATGAATTAGGAACCACATGTAAGAGAATTGAACATTGGTCTCTGTCAACACTTACTATAGTCCAAAAACTTTCCAGCGTAGAATTCTTTCGCTCACTTACTCATGAAATTCTGATGAATATCCAGTTAATTTTGGTCCACCCATCTTTACGTAATCATCTATCTTCTGCATGCCTTTCCAGTTACACATTTCCGCTATGTCATCGAAATTGGAGATCCACTTAGTGACATTCTTCCCGTCGTCACCACTGAACGTTTCAAAGAATTCATTAACATCTCTAAAGGTAAACATTGACTTAGAGTACTCACTTTTATATCGCATAATATTACTACCTTCGTCCTCACTTTCGTCAGCATTGTCGTCTCAGGCATTCTCGATCAAAAGTGCCGCTTTCAATCTTTCCGCCAGCTCTCTCTTGTTACCCGTCGTTTTCAATTTTCGTTGTCCTAGCTCGATTTTCAGATCAGCACACTTAAGATGTTTCACATCCGTCATCGTATTGTCCTTAGATACAACAATCAGTCGTAGTTCGTCGTTTACCGTAGCGTCGCTAATTCTGCCATCTTGTCTGGATTTCATTATTGCCTTTCTGAAAGTTTTCGTATGAATTTTTTTCAATATCCCTGACGGCTCCCAAAATTTGTGGAACTAGAAATAGAAATAACAATAATAATTCAGCGTTTGTTACCGTCTTCAAATTATGGCTACAACGATAATGTTCTGGCGTCCGTAATGTCTTTTGTCCCCTTCACGTCGTCACCAATTGTCGTCTCCCCTTACTTGGCTCCCTCGTCTCCCCCGCAATTCCTCGTTTATTTTCTTAACAGTTTAGGAATATTACTCATCTAACCCCTCATATATATAGGAAAAAAATTCCGTGGCTATGTATGTATGTATAAGTGCGTCTGTGTGTGTGTTGGGGCCTATTTCGTTTAATATCTCAGGATGGAGTAAAAGTTAAGAAACGAAATTGGCATGGAAGCTTGTATGTAAGAGGCAATTCCATAAAGCACTCAATGCGAACTTTATATTTACAGACTAAACCTAGGTCCTCAAAGGTGCTTCTTTCCGCATTCAACTCGTGCTTTAATATCTTCAGCTACTAAGAAGACCAGACGGGACTCTTGCAAGTGTCAACTAACTGTTCGGACAACCTGCTTCGCAGGAAATTGTCGATCTCCCATTGCAAATTGCAATGTGTATTGTATTCGTAGTGGTCTCAAGCCCCCCATCTAAAACACTTGTTTAGTAGCGTTGTTTTTTATTACCATGTATAAATCCTTCCTTAGTGAGGATTTTCGGCCGCCATTACAAGTTGCAATGTTTCATACGTTTGTTCGCGTATCCCTAGTTTGGCACACTTTTGTGTTGTCAGTTTTTTTTTGTAACACGTGGTGTTTTTTCGGCATATGTTCATTGTTTCATGCCCTATTTTAATGGTTTTGTCGGTTTCCCATTGCAAGTCGCAATGTTTTGTCTATTGACTTCGCTTATAACACTTCTGTAACATGTGCTATATTGTTTATTGTCTTGTCATAAGAAACATTGTCGGTTCCCCTATTGCAAGTACAGTATGTATGAGTGCGCGCGCGCGTGTGTGTGTTGCGGCCTATTTCGTTTAATATCTCAGGATAGAGTAAAAATTAAGAAACGAAATTGGCATGGAAGCTTGTGTATAAGAGGCAATTCCATAAAGCACTCAACGCGAACTTTATATTTACAGACTAAACCTACGTCCTCAATGGTGCTCAATGGTATTGTAAATATGTTATGTTTGAGTGCCCATCACTTAGGGCGCTTCCGTAATTCTTAACTACTGTCCCACAACTGAATGTAAATTTTTAATTTTATTTTAAATAAAAGCGATGCAGGTGTCCTTGGGACTTCCGTTTCATCCCCTTTACTATCCTTTATAACTAGGGTGGCCAAGCTCTTTAATAGTCCGAGCCATTTTTCAAAATTTGAAATTTTTCGCGAGCCGCAATTAAATACGTATTAAAACGGTATGCAAAAAATTCCAGATTATAAATTATATTCGTAGCAAG